CTAGGACCTCAGTGGACTAGCACCTCAGTGGCTAGGATCTCAGTGGCAGGGACCTGCGTGGGCTGGGACCTGAGAGGGCTGGGCAGACCCAAGGGATGGGGTGGAGGAGATGTGGCACTGGGTGATGTGGCCTGGCTGGGAATCTGGTTGCAGTGAGGACCAAGAGGACCCCCCCCCGCCCCCAGCACCGCCAGGCATAGGAACAGCCTAGGTAAGGTGAGAAGGACATCAGTACCCCTTGTGTGCCCTCCGAGGGCCAGCTGCAGGGAAAGTGGACACTGCAGGAGGGCTGCTGGGTGGAGCTGGATCTGAGGTGGTGGCCTGGTCAGAGGAGGCCTTCAGGGAACAATCCATGGGGCCAGTCGTCCAGTGCTAGGGCTCGCAACCTCCCAAGAGCCACCAGCAAGAGCCTTCACCGGTGGCCACTCATCCCCTTTATGACTGGGAGGACATTTCCGTTATAAAGCACAGGTCCTCAGTTAGTGCTGCCACCCCCGCTGCCCCTGCACCCAGCCCGGATGACCAGCCAACCCCGTTCCTGGCCGACTCGGCAGGTTGGCACCCTGTTAGGGCAGGATTTTGAGGGGGCTTCCCTGGAGCCTGTGCATTGGCATCAACAGCACTAAAGGGACAGTCCAGGTGTCAGCTCAGACAGCAGAGCACCACTGGGGAAGGAGGTGCCACCAGGCCACCCACCCAGAGGCCTCTGCTCCTGTCAGCTTCTCCCTGCCCCTCCCACACCGCTCACCCGAGACACTGTCACTCGGGACCAGGACTGCTCGAGCAGCCCCCTGGGAGTGGGACAGCCAGGGTGTGCTGGGGATGGCCCAGCTTGGCAAAGCGCCAGGGCGTGTTCTGTCCGGGAACTGACAGAAGGACCCTCTTCCGTGACATCCCACCCAGGAGCAGAATGTTCCGGACTGTGCTGTCGACAGCGGCTGGGGCTGTGTGCAGGGCTCCTGGTGGGACAGAGCAGCCGTCCCTGCCAAGGCCCTGGGGCTCCTGGGGACCGCAGCGGCCACAGGAAGACTCCAGCTGTGGGACGAACCCCCCTCCCTGGAGCTTCATGAAGAGGCGAGTGGCAGGGGCTTGGGAGACCATTTCCAGAGCCCTGTATTTGCATCCTGACTGCCACCTGTGGGTTGGTGGCCCTGAAGACCTACCCTACCTTGTGCACGGTCTGTTGGTCTGCAGGGCGGTCTTAGCCTCCTGGGCCATTGCTGGCCCTGCCCAGAGAGCGTGCGGGCTTGTCTGCAGTCCCACAGTCCAGCCACAGTCCCACAGGACACCCTCTGGGGTCCTCACACAGATGGTGGGGGCCAACTGGAGCCCCCACCAACGCCTCTCTTAGCTGGGGTATTTCTCACTGTGGGTTTGGGTTGTCAGAGAACCAGGGGCACTCACCACTGAGCTACCTCCCAGCCCTTTTTATTTTCTGTTAAGTTGCTGAGGCCGGCCTTGCACTTGTGACGCACCTGCCTCAGCCTCCAGCGTCTCTGGGATCTCGAAGTCGCCCGTGGGTTCCTCTGGCATGCGGGTCTGCGCGTCTCCGTGCTGTGTTGCTGGTGTTTGGCCACCTGAGTGCCAGGACCCCCACCCCCACCAGGCTGTGCCAGTCAACTCTGTGACCTTGCCAGACATCCGCTGGACTGTCCTGATTGGGAACCACTGGTCAGGCTG